AAAATTTCCAAGCGGGATATCTGATTTTTTTGGTTCAGTATTGGGGAGGAAGTAGAACTGCAAGGAATCGAATGGTGCAGATTCGGTTGGGGGAGGTGGTCAAGGTTGGTTCAGCATGATATCCTTTTGATTCTCTAATAGGTGTAATAAATTAGCTGACTTGCGGAAAGATTGCACGCCAAATGCTTCTGACAAAATGCCGACATGACCTGGAGGACCAAATGAGCGAATATCTTTGGCTTCAAAAAGAATGCCGGATAAGGTTGGTGTTTTTGATCCCTGTTAGTCCCAACGGTGTCGTCGGATATGTGTAGTTAACGTCGCCTAGAACCATGATCGTCATATCAATGATCGACTCTGCAATGCCGTTTTATCAAAATTATCCTTCGAGGTTGACGAACATCGAACTTCAATGTGACTTGCCCTGTCAAGAAACCTATTTTGCGGCACGGAATCCGTTTCTGGAGCCTGATTTTCGTCTTAGCCGGGGGATGACGGTATACCAGGCCTTCCAAAGCCTTTTTGTGGAGCAAGGATCTGTCCGTCCGCTATTCGTTCACCGCGGGACAAACATTCTGCATTTGGGAATAATGGATATGTTCCTTCTCATTCATCGTAGGTTATACAAACAGAACCACCATTTCATGAAAGAAGAGGCTGACGTGTCTAGAAATTTACTCTTATATCCATATGCACATGAACCTTTTGATGCCACTATTAGGAAAACGGAACTCAAATCAACCTGAATGCGGAACTGTCACTCGGATCAAGCTTGCTCTTGAACACTGGCGATCGCTATGGATCTCTCTTCGTGCCGAGCTACCCAATTGTGAATGGGAGAGGGTGGGTTTCTTCAAAGGAGCCTACAATTTCTGGCTCGTATCGCAGTTGCTTATTAGTAAGGATGCTGCGGTGGATATCCTCATGAGAATGGACGTCAACTGCGAAGATAAACTGAGCCAGCTGAAGGCCCTTCTACCTGATGACAACGATTAATATCTATCAGATATGAGCCATCTTCAACACCAGCAGCAAGTCACGGTACGAATCCTTCAAGGTATAGATAAGGCGCGAGATACTTTTTGTTATTTGGAGGCTACTTGACTGTCTCTGCAGAATATTATGCCACAAGCTACCAATAATATATGCGGACAGGAGATATAGTGCTTAACTTACGGAGCGGATGTTGTAATGGCAGCTCTTCGCCATTTCCTTTCCTGCAACGGTCGCTTCCTTCACTTCCCATTCTAATTTCGTTTTCCATTATTGGGAGTGGATTTTGAGTTCTATACTTTACTCCAATTTTCATTGTTCATTTGTCTTTTTTTGGATTTGTTTTTGATAAACTTGTCTTCCTCATTTCTGTGTTTATTATTTCTGTTTTCGCCCCAATTTCTTTTGAACTTAGATACCCAAATGAACTAGTCGCTTTTTGCAGTCCTCTTTTGTCGATCATTTATAACTACCCTTTTTGTCTTATTTCGTTTGCAAATCAGCCCTAAATATGCCAACCGCACATATTCTAACTTGCACTTCTGTCATTACATTTACCTTATCTGATATATAAAGCGTAGCCTCTTTGGCACATTTCCTCTTCACCCGTTCTCCTATCTTCCTTTGGAGTTTCTCTTTCTGTCTCTATATCTGTTATTTCCTGCCATTCAATCCTACTTGGAAAATCAACCAAGTTTTTGCAATTTTTAAATGTACTTCTATGGGTTTGGCTATTCAGGTATTGTCAGGATGTTCAGTTTTAAATTTCTGGTCTTTATCACACTACCAACTCAATCAAGTACTGATTCAATTGCCACTCTTGAAATAAATTGAGAGCGGACATTTACGAGTTGTCCTCGTGTAACAACAAATTGGCTATTAATAAAGTACCCAGCCTATTGGGTCACGTTAGTGACCATTTTGCCAATGAGTCAATAACATCAATCCGACTAATGCACCTATAATATGTGCACAGTGGATTTTTGTTGGTGAAAGGTGTCAGAGCATTTCAACTTTATTGTGAATACACTGCGTGGTCCCTCCGCCATCAAATGTTGAAGGTTAAAATAAACTACTCTGGGTTCGGGATGATATTTATTCCGATGATCAACTTTCACTAATTGCATGAGGGCTAGCGCAAAACTACAGCCGGATAATTATAACCCCGACACCACGCTGACTAATCCTCACCGTGATGCCAGGAGAGACCGCAACGACAAGCAAAAAAACCCTTGACGGCACGAATCAACCAGCAGCCATTCAGCTAAAACACTCAAAGCCCTCTGCTCAACCCTATCCGTTTGGTACGTGAACCTTGCTGTCCCCATCAGATCATTGAGAAAACGACCCTGTTGCGGCCTGCATGCTGCCCTTCACCTTTCCCCACAAATACCCCGTCGTGCATTTTAACCGATCGTTGTGTGGAACCCTAATTAATTGCGCCGAATTGTTGCGCCTTGCAATTTTCTGACAAAGACGGTTTGAATAGATTTCTCCTCCGTGCCCTCCGTGCCTTCCTGCCTCCTTCATTTGCGCTGGTGTCTTATATTTTCTTGCAGTCAATTACCCATCATGGATCAAGCAAAGTTGGCTAGACTCCAGCAGAGTGTGCGAATTGGTATGTGTTAGACACGCTGAACTCTTTTGCATTAGCTATTCCCAGGGTAAAGATATGGGCTGACCATCTCTAACTAAATGGTTTGATTTTTGCAGGGTACGTATTCTGAATTATATGCCATTTGATTGTTTCGTTGCTTTCCGATGATTGGAGGAGGGATGATTTGGTTGCTATGACTCTTATCATAAAGAGGGGGAACATATTTCTGGTGTTGGTGGCGGCAGCTAACGATCTTTTGTCCGTTGTGTTTAGAGGCAAGGGTACCCCGCGACGCAAGACGAAGAAGGTCCACAAGTCATCCGGAACCGATGACAAGAAGCTCCAAACGTCGCTGAAGAAACTGAATGTGCAGCCCATCCAGGCCATTGAGGAGGTCAACATGTTTAAGGAGGATGGAAATGTCATCCACTTTGCTGCCCCAAAAGGTGTGTTGTTGCAGTCCCCCATTACTGAGCTTGTTATAATATTCGAATTCTTACAACTAACGTATTCCCGCCCTTCTTCCAATCTTGCAATACAGTCCACGCCTCCGTCCCAAGCAACACCTTCGCTATCTATGGTAATGGTGAGGATAAAGAGCTCACAGAGCTCGTACCTGGAATCCTTAACCAACTGGGACCTGACTCTTTGGCGTCCCTCCGCAAGCTGGCGGAGAGCTACCAGAGCATGCAGAAGAGAGAAGGCGGCGAAGATGGCAAGAATGCCGATGAGGAAGATGACGATGATATCCCAGATCTAGTTGAAGGAGAGAATTTCGAGAGCAGAGTTGAATGATCGAGGGGAACTAATCCAAAATCATCTAAACTATCTCCGCCTAGAAAAATTCGTTCTACTATCATCTCACTTACCTTGCGTGATTTTATTCCTTTTCCAATGTCTATGTTCATCAGCAGCAGCAAGCAGAGAGGAAAAGAAGAATCAGAAGAGCACTTTTAACATGCTGAATATAAAACAAAGGAAGAAATATTGCAGAATATGTAAAATCCGCGGGGTGATTCTGAAGGCTTTTCCCGTGTCTATGTTTGATTACCAATTTGCTCTTTTCGTCATGGCATGCTTTGTTGTGCTAGTTTCCACCGGCAAACTATCTGTGTTATCAGGTTAACGTACATTCATATCATTTGGTACATGCAACGTGCAATGCACACGCAGTATGAGGAGTGAATGCTAGTCCGTTTCATATCTCAAGCATATCTATCGATTCGATCGACATTTACTTTTAGTAGCTTGCATTATACTAAAGTAGTTTCCTTGATTTTCGCGCTTTCAGACCGAGAGGATGCGCGGGGCTGGGCTGCTGGCTGAGAGCAGAGGAGGCAGACGAAAAACAAAGACAGAAATTAAGTTCAACATAGATTCTATTTCGAATAGTAGCTTCAGTCGATATAATAGAAGAAAGCAAATATGGACCGGTATGTATACGTAAATGCTGAGACGGTTCTGGCTAACGAGTCACAAGTCATTTTGATGATGCTGTCCTCTATTCTAATCACATCTCCTATTTACATCAGAAGCCCATAAACTAAACTCGTACATGGACAAAAAGGTTTCTAATGCTCAATTTTGGCCTGTCGATAAGGTGAGATACATGGTCTTAAAAGAGCAGATTGAACAACATCTTAAGAGAAAATGATGGTTCATCATATGGTATATAAAACAAATGACACGAAGGAAACGGGCATTAGACAGAAGAAAATCCGCTATTTTGTGGGCCTATCACACCCAGTCAACGAAGTAAGAAACGTGCTAAAATCCGGTTTTGAATGTAAAATTTAGAAATATGAAAAGAGAGGGAGAGAAAAGAAGGAAAAGGAAGGAAATGAAAAACTATGGGACATTGAACGCCTCTTTTATGATCCAACAAAACAAAGACAAATGATTTGAAAATCACAAATAGAAATGCAGAATTCCTGATTCCACGGGCGGCAAAGTCAATAAAAAAAGATAACATAAAAAGTAAGAGAACAGCCCATCATGTCAAGATTAGGAAAGAAAGGTGGACATGATGGAAAAGTCATCGTTTTATTAGGTGAGTGGTATCTCATATTGTAAATATACGCAATTAAAATTGTCACACGGTGCAAATGTTCCATTCTCGGGTGTTAACAGGGTCTCGGAGTGTTGGAAGGTATATAGGGGCGTGGCTGAGCCGTGCAAATGATAAGAAGGAATTCACAATACTTGTTTAGAACGGTTAAGGAAAAGGCAGTCACTCGATGACCACTCACGTAATTTCGGAAAATCGTAAGTCTAGACATAATAGCTGACCAGATTAGAGGATGTGAGGACTAACTTGACGATGGTCTTATCGGCGGACATCCCATGGCAATGCACTGGCAATAATCGACCTTATTGGGTGAAATGTCAAGACGGGAATCGCGATTTTGCCTTAAGATTCTTCCTTCAAGCCACACAAGTCGGTTCCAAGAAGCTTATCGACCATATACCAGAAGCGCCAATAGGCTCCTGACTTGTCGTGATCGAACGATCCATCTTCGCGAAGCACAGGCCCATCACCAACAATGTCACCCGTAAACCAACTTAATATGGGAATAGATCGAAGTACACGTTCAACCACAGTGGGTTGAGGAGGGAGGGCTTCGGAAATTGGTCGCAAAACAGCACGACGAACAGTAGGAATATGGGTCATGAATTCGGACTCTGGCTTTGGCTCAGATCCAGGTTTGGATTGAGTTTGAGTTTGCCGTTGACGTAGAGTGTTGCTTGCCGCTGGCTCAATGGCTGTGGCAGAGCTGGCCGTAGTCGATGATCTCTGAGAAGTAACGGAGTCATCTACAGTTCCATTGTTCGGGATTGTAGGGGAAGAACAGGATCGAGGAAGGTTGGTTCGGTCGACATCAGCGGATTGAAAAAATATATTGGATTGAGACGAATTCAAGGTATGTGATTTTAGCTGCGGCCCAACAAGTTCGGCGGAGTCTTTAGGAATTGGAGCATCATGCTGTGGCCCATGCCCATGATATGGTTCACAAAAGATCATGAACCCATCGATTTCTTGTGGGGAGAAGAAGCAGGCACGGTCAGCAGCGGCGGCGGTGTCAAAAGTGACTTTTATCCAATGGAATCCTCCAGCATATCTCTTTGCTTTCTTGTTGGCATCAGACGACAGATTCGGATGAATAACAACATCACCACCGCTTAGCAGTTGGGGGTACTTTGGTGCCAATTCAGGGTCGGTTCTTGGGTAGTCCTCGCATATCAAGCCTTGAGATATCCGTTCAAATTTGTCAATGACTTTCCACTCGCTTTCTTTGTTCTTGTACCCATAAAGAATACATTCAGTTGCGACCTTCTCAATAGATTTTCGGGGTGAATCTGTAGAGTTGGAAGTTGAGGCTGGTAGATGTTTCGATTGGTTTTGCTCCTGTTCCTGTTGCTGTGCGAACAGCTTGCCGAACTCCGCTACATTCGGGTTTTCCTTTCTGGCGGGAGTTCCCGTTCTAGTTCCAGATCGAGTTGAATTATAACGGGCATTGCGTCTTTTTCCAAAAGGCCCACTCTCTTCAGGGGGACGCCGTGGATTCCTTGCCTCACTGGCAAGAGAAGGCATGTTAGCTTTGGTGTTCAGTTTGGGGTGAAAGGTTGTGGAAATTTGAGAAATAAACAAAGACGATGACGAAAACGTTAAGATAGCCATCCGTGTAGCTCAAGTAAACTCGAGAAAACATAGCATCGGGAGTGACACGAGCGTGCAGAGCAGGCAGGAAACAACATACTCTTTGTAAACATATCCCCACGGGAGGACATTCCCTTTGTCGTCTCTGGCACGTTCTTCGAGCGGGACTGCGTGATACTCCATGGCAACGGGGCCACTAACATAGAGGAAAGGATAAAGAGACGTAAGAGTGACGGAGATCAACGAGCTGTGTAGTCGAGTAGAATGAAGGCGATGTTGACCGTTTCCAAAGCATCAACTCATCTAGTTGATTTCAGTTGTTGATTCGAGATGGGAGTTAATGTTTATATCACGTGTGAGTTTATTTCAATCACGTGAGCACAACTGCCAAGAAATTCTTATCTCAAAGATCAAACGACGATTTAGTTCTCCTATCGACGACATTCACATTATCATCAATGTAGAGCATTGCAGAATCAACCTGTAGATTGGATCGAAAATCTATTTTGCAATCCATTTCAGGACATTGTCTAATGTATCAGATCAATCTTCTGCACCCTCTCGGGTAGATTTTCAATATCAATCATCCCTCATCAATGTTACGTCGCGACATAATCCTGTGCTAAATAGGTAGCTGTAGACCATCACTTTACACTGCAGAGCCGGATGTGGAAGCTAATGGAATTCTATTATAGTAAAATCATTATGGGATTTTCCACTGGCAATTTTACCGTTGCGTACACAGATTCTAATTCTCATTTGATATAACTATCAATCCTTATGCAATGTGAGTGAGGAACAAATGAGACTCGGGGATGGTGGATTAGAAAAAGTAAATGATAAAAAAGCCAAGGACAAATAGTATAAGGGAGAAGGAAACAATACATATTCAAAAGCTATGAAACAGGAATTAGTAAAAGAAATATAATACAGGCAAATCAAGCATCTAACGTTCTCCACGAGCATAATAATCATATACATGGTTTCTACAAGCAACGGAGGAAGTATAACCAAGTCGAAGATATAAAACACGGTGTACACATCATTGTATCGAACCCCCCTCAAACCCACCCTTTAACTTCCTCCTCCGCCCACTTCCACAACTCCTCCCCAAGCACTTTATCATCCGCAAACCAATTCCTGGCCTGAACCCCGACAGGCTCATAATACGCTCCGTTTTTCAACACCCCCTTCTCAACCCCAGCCGCCCATAAGTGATTAAGCGCCCCATCTTTCTCCCCTGTCAACAACGGACCCAATGCTGCCATCCCATACCTTACAATTGGATTGCGGGTTTTGGACGAAGAGTAGAGATTTGTATCGATCACACCCGGATGCACGGATACAGCTGTGATATCTGGATAGAGACGGGCTAGTTGGGCTGCGAGAACGACGTTGCCGGCCTTGGAAGTTCCGTAGCGTGTCCAAGTGTTTGCGGATAAGAGCTTTTGTGTGGACGTCATGGTTTCAAGGGGATTGGATGCTGGAGCCAGCTGCCAGGCTAGGGATGAGATGGAGATTACACGCACGTCTGCTGTTTGTTGTTGTGGGGAAAGGGGCATTTTCACAGTCTCGAGAATGGTGGGCAATAGGAGCTTTGTAAGGAGGAAGTGGCCGAGAAAGTTTGTGCCGAAATGGATCTCGTAGCCATCCTCTGTGGTGTACGGGGGTAACCCCATTACGCCAGCGTTGAGGATTAGAGTGTCGAGACGGTGGCTGTCGGATTTGAAGGTGGAGGCGGCAGCGCGGATGGATCGGAATGATGAGAGGTCCAGGGGGAGGAAGCGGATGTCTAGGGTTGAGGATTGTTCGATGTTGAAGGAGGATTTTATGTCTGCTATTGCGCTGAGAGCCTTGGCTTCGTTTCGAGATGCGAGGTAGATGCGAGATGGATTGTGTTTTGCCAGTTCGAGGATGGTTTCTCTCCCAAGACCAGAGTTTCCTGATGACACGGTTAACTTTGGTTAGAGCAGAGGGCGGCAGACATGGATCCAACGTTTATAATTAAGGGATCTATATAGAACATCACACTTACCCCCAGTGACGAGTATAACTTTCCCCCCTAAATCGCCAATATCTTTTTCGGGCGTAAACATTTCCTTACCCAGGATTTTTGACACATTCCGGCTTATCGTTGATGTGACATACGCCAGGTTCTCCTTCGGGTAGTGTAAAAGCCCAGTGACAAAACGAGTTAGGGCTAGAGCTTCCTGTAATGCAGTACTTGAAGTGTTTATTTCCGCACCAGCGGTTGCGGAAGTCGCTGAAGCTGACGGTCCAGTTGTAGCTTTTGGAGGCATGGCCTCCTCATTGTTGTCTTTAGTCCGCGACGCGGGAGTGGACATTGCGTTATTGGATTTTTGAAGATTGCACCTTAGTAAATATTGTCTCGTTTGACGCGATTCGAATTGCTATCTCCGTAGATAGGTATCCCTAATCTGATTGATAGCTCTATATTTCAAGCGCTTCGGTTCCGTATCTTTCTTTCTCTTCTAAAAAAATATATCACGAACGCAGAAGTGAAAGGGACAAATCGGCAGAATACTGCGGTTCCATTCCCCTTCCTATTCATATAATGACAGGGCAGTTGAAAATCGCCCGTGTAATGAGAAAAGACAAGTAAATTCAATACATGAAAAGTGAAGATTTTGTGGATGCTCCGAACGTGATGTGAAAGTGGAAAAGGAACGAGGTAGCTGTGGAGTTGCTCATAACGAGGTAAACAGTATAGGGCACTCCAGCAACTTCAATCTAGAGAAGGATGAAAATAGAAAGCCTCCAACAACATATCTTTAATTTGCTGCTTGTTATTGATATGTTTGATCATATCTAGCTGCTTTTTGTTGCAGTGATTCCAAGGTTTCGAGATTTCTTCAAGCTGATTAAAGTTAAGATAATCACTCATAGACTCGCCAACCCCCTCAATGGCATTAATCTTCTCATCAATAAATATTTCAACAAAATCCACTGCCATTGTCAATTCTATTTAGTAAAAAGTCCGAAATAGTCTTAAATTAAGGATTTACATTAAAACAGATTTTTAAGTATTATACTCAAATCTGTAAGAAATTTATTTATTATTATATTATTATTTTCTTATGTATGAGTTAATTATACAAAAAAAACCTAGCTAACTAACTAATTAGTTAATTAACTAGTGTTGAAAATATGTTTATAATTAAGGAAAGTATAGTTAACTATCTAAAACCTTAAAAGAGGACAAATAAAACACTAATTTTAGAATTTATAATATATAGTTATTGGCTGAAAAATGATGATAATTTATAAAATAAGCCAATTGCTAGCTTAGCTTATGATACTAAAAATATTAAGTAAATATCATCTGATATATATCAGATGATATGTTTGATTTTTAAATATTTTTTCTTTAAATTTAATATACTTTGTATAAGGTTTAAAGATATAACTTTTAATTTTTCATAATAAGCATTATTTAATAATCAGTCCTAATTATTTACTTTTAAAAAAAAGTTTTGATATTGATTGAGAAGTATTTTCAGTTTTATTTTTTAAAATTTAAGTTTTTTTAAAAAAAAATCAATATTATTTATACTAATTTTGAAAATATTAATACTCTTTGTTTATTACTTTTAATTTTTTTAAAAAAAAGAGATAATTATAGAAATTTATATAATTTTTATAATTTTTATTAGTAATATTCTAATAAATAATATCTTTTTTAAAACTATAAATCAGTAGTTTTGAATATTATAAAAATATTAAATTTATTTAGTCATGATAATAAAATTTAAAATTATATATAAATTAAAAACTATATATTTATACATAATTTATTTTCATTTATATTTTAAAAGAGAATTTGAATTTCTTATATTATTAAATTCTTTAAAATTATATAACTAGTTTTAAAAAAAATATGTTAAAACTTATACATTTCAATTAGTTATAAATTTACTATAGAGTAATGAAGAGACCTATAAAATATTCAATTTTATTAAAAAAAGAAAATAGCTAATCTATATAACTACAGTAGATGACATCTGTTACAGCGCAACCGCTTGTAATATGAATCAAGGTTGATCTGTTCTGTTTCTCTTTATAATTCAGCTGCACATTCTAATCCCCAGTTTAGTATTCTCATCGCAGCTGCCTAGTTAGATAGATGAATCGAAGCTTTTGTCTTGTTTATCTTGACTTTAGATTGAGCTATGACAACATCACATGTGAAGAGATCACTCAAACACCTTTGCCTGCACATCAACAAAAACTTATAATTATTAATGTATTTGGTCATAAATTACATGAGATTGGTCACAATTTATATAGGCAGTAAATCTCTTTAATATATAATTTTCTACTTCTGTTATACAATCTTGCAAAAATAACATTGTATAATAAAATAAATAAAAATAGACTTCAATTGACTGTTCAAGTCATAGAATTGTTGAACTATTCTGTCATATGATTTATTTTCCATCATATAGTAGTTCTTGTAATTAGCAATCTCTGCAATTGATCAAGCTTGTTATTTTATAATATTATAAGATCTGTTTTGCGTTTAAATATAGTCAATTCAAAAGTTATTTTATCAAAATCAATGATTATTTATTTTATTTGATTTATATTATTTTATTTGAAATATTTTTTATATATTAAGAATTTTTAGCTTTAATATTTTACATAAAATTCTGTGATGAGCTAGTCACTGAAAACAGCTGATAACTAGCACGTATAAGAACACAAAGAAATCATTAAGGAAAAAGGAGAGATAAATCATGAAGAAATCAGACTGCTTCTATATAGGGAAGGCTTAAGTATTAAAAGTCTTTTACACGAGGATGACTGAGGTGTGTAAAGGGTTAAGCTCTAAGAACTAGAGGCTAGTCCTCCTATATAACAAGGACGAATTGCTTGAGAATGAGATGAGAACTCGAGCTTAAGCAAGCTCGCGT